CCAGGAGACAGGGCAGCTGGCAGCAGCCACACCCTCCCTCGTTCTGTGCTGCTACCAAACGCCATGTTGGGGTAACGCAGTCACGTGACAGCATCGCCAGTTCTCTCTTCATAGCTCTGGTTCGTTTATTGTAACTTTATGATAAAATATCCTCTAAGGCTGCAATTTTTTTTTTAAGGAAAAGGATTTGCTTTAAATAGAGTGCTCTGAAGAGGAACCCAAAGTAGGCCTAGTCCCTCCGTCAAGTATTTACACTGGGAAGAATGACTTTAAGTTCCCGTACAGCCCAAGGCCCTATTTATAGTGCAAGGAACCACAGAGCTCTTCACGTGAAGTTGACCTTACAATTAATTTAAGCTCTGTGCTGGCGGTAGCTTTACGTCCCACTTTACAGTTCCTCAGTGATGCGGATGCCACCCAACTCTAAATACCTAGAAAGAACTAAGGCCGATGTGAAGACCCAAAACCAAGTGCGGTAGGCAGCTGGACAGACATGAACCAAGCAAAGGTGATGGGCCAAGCACAGACGGTCACCAGGGCAAAAAGCCCCGGGTGCCTACAGGCAAAACTGGGAAAACAGGAGCCTCGCTCCCAAGGGTAACCTTTCCTCCCGCTGGGTGCTGGTGAGTGACCCGACCCCTAAGCATTAAGCCCCCAGCACCACGAGGTTCTGACCTGCATCGACCATATCTAGGCCTCAATTGTGTTTCAGGGCCAGGCCCAGAAAAGGGGCAAAATCAGACAAGCGAAGCCACCGCTGACATCAGGACCAGCTGCACTGACTAATGACCCCGTCCCAGTCAGTAGAGACCACGACTCCGCGAGGACACACCCGGAAAAGTGACGAATACTCCACTGGGATCTGTCCTCCACCTCGAGAGGGAGGACCCGGGGTAGCTCTCTCTGGAGCAGGCCCTGCCTTTCCCCGCCTCCTTCCCCCGCCTCCTTCCCCCAGGCGTGTTTTCCTCGCCTCTCCCTCTCCTAAGCTTCTGCCCTAGTACCTTGGTTCCTGAGCCCACGCGCTCAGCCGGCCCACTTCTTCCACCTCTACGACTTTCTAAACACACTTTTACTTGTACTCAAGTCCTGGCTCTGAATTCTTTCTCAGCAAGAACCCCAGTGCAGAGGCTGCTGCACCGAGGTCCAATCGCTGCGAACGCTCTGGTGCCACTTGGCTGCCGACACGATAGGAACCTGCTCGCCTTCCTCAGTCTCTCACTCCCACCAGGTCAGGAGCTGGGAACACCGGCTACAGCGACCACCCTCCTGCGCGACAGCGACCCCCCCCCCCCACACACACACCGAACACGTCTTCCGTTTCCAACTTCGATGGCCAAAAACCCTCCGAATCCCAAGTTCAGATCTCACGCACTAACCCCGCATCACCACCTCCAACCGCCCAGACGGAAGACCCAACTGGCTCGGTATAAAGCTACGAAACCTGCGGGAAGGAGACGGAGAGGGTTGTCACCGGTGAATCTGCAGCGGATAAGAAAGGGACTCGAAACTTCCAGAACCTTCTCGTTAACCTTGCTTCAGGGTTAGGACGAGCACGACTACCCAGGACTGCGTTCCAACCCCACTTCCAACAACCTGCCTTCGCTGCAGCCAGCATCCAGAGTGTTCTCGAAAAACACTCACTCAGCAGCTCCCTTGGCTAGTCGGGCCTGGCAATCCTGAGCCACTGCAGCTGCCCAGCAGTGTCAACAGCGCCCAAGCAGCTGCCCTCTTCCTTCCCGGTTAACTTAAGAAGGAATATCAGTCCTGGGAAGAACGAGGATATTACTTGGGCGGGGGAGGGGTGGAGGGAGAAGAGTTTGACGTGTAGAAGCATGAAACGAGCCCGTCACCCTTCCTTCTCTCATTTTGGACTTCTGGGGTAACCGGGCGGGGTGGGGGGCGACCAGGTCAATTATGGAGACACAGAGTCACCTCGGACCCAGACGAGTGCTCGCTGGGGTATAATTAGTACGGAAAAGAGGGAGGCGAGCACGGGCTGTAGAGATGCAAAGTGCCGGTCGACAACAATGCACAGAAGTGAAGGCGGGGGTCGGGGATGACGTCAGGAAGGTGTCACCGTCGCCGGGCCGCCTCTCCCACCCCGCCACAGACCTCGAATTCCCTCAAAGACCCACTATCCACCGCAGGGACGACATTTCTCTCCGCGGGAGAAGGGCGCGACGCCTCGGCTCCCCAGCCAGGCGGAAGCAGGAGGGGAGGTCCGACCTCCGAGAGCGCCCCTTCAGGGGGTCCATCCGGACTGGTTCGCGAGCGTGGGGTGGGGATTTGGGGGTCCGCGGAGGGCGGGGCATCGCCTCTAGCTGGGAGCCGCATCCTGGCAGGGACGGGTTACCCGGAGCCACGGAGCCGAAGCTCGCCCCTTCCACTACCCTGCTACCTGGTTACCTCTTCGCCCCTTCATCGTCGAGCAGCTCCGGCTCGGTCGCCGCCATTACCACATCGCACTCCGCGGCAGCCGCCATCTTACCGCCGAGACCAGAGAGCCGGGTGGGAGGCCGGCGGTGCAGAGCACTTCCGGTCGGAGCATCGAGCAGCTCGGCCGCGCTGCGCCCAGAGTGGCTCCCTCGGGCCCGTCTACCAGCGAGAGGCTCCGCTTGGGGCCAGAGTGGCCTCCCGTCCCCGGAGGTCCACGGTGGTCTCCGCGCCGCGGCGGGACCCCAGGGACGGTTCCTGGATGTGGGGGGCGCCACTTTAACTATAGATCGAAAGGGGGTCCAGGAGCGTATCTCCTCTCTCTGCCTTGGTTGTCCTCAGTATTGCGAGAGCTTCGTTGCCATAGCAACTTCCAATCCTAGAGCGTCTTCTGGAAGGTTCAGGGGATTCTGAGTTGGGTGGGAACCCGGTCACCCAGGACCTTGAAGGGAAAGAACCCCCCACTACTACCTTCCCGACCTTGGAGTGTGTCCACAGCCTCCTCCCGGGAAAGGCGAGAAGAGGCGGTGTGAGCCCGGTGCCCCTAGCTTTCATCGGCCCCTGGTAGCCCTGCCCAGCCAAGCCAGAGGAACGCAGGACGGCTTCACCCCGCGCCTTTCATCCCCCTCTGGATCTCCAAGCACCAACTGGTTCATCACCCTAATGACGCTGACCCTTTTATGATGTTGCTTTCATGTCAGCCGCTTGGGAGTGCCGTCTCAGCATTAGGCCTAGGAAGAGTGGCACAGTGCCCCAGACCCTGCCCTAGAGTTTATAAGGCAGCAGCTCATGGGGTGAGGTCCCTGCCCCAGTGCCGCAGTATTTCCACCCCTCGTAAAACCCTGCTCAGCACGCTTGTCTTGCTGAATGCAATCTGCATTGGGAACTTACAGAGGGCAGGTACACAACCTAATCGTCTTTGTAGTACCTCACCCCAACCAATAATATGTGTAGACTTGAATTAAATTGGGGCTTTCCGAGGTTAAATTGAGGGAGTTTGAGTTTGAAGCCATGGGGAACTAAAATAATAAGGGGACAAGGGAATTTCAAAGGCATCTTACCCTCTTCCTTCAGTAAAACTGTGCCATCGCCCATAAGCTGCTTGCATGGTCCCTGCCTACCAGAGCGCCAAGGAAGCTGAAACCAAACTCACCCTTAGTTCAGGAGAGAATGGGAGCGGCCAGGTGCCTACTGTCCCTATTCGGAGTCGGGAGGGCACAGGCTCACTGCCTGCCCGGCCTACCAACAGCTCACAGCCCACAGTCTTGTGCTGGAGGCATTCTTTCACGGTCTTCCCACTTCGTGTTCTCTGTATCGGAGCCACCTCATCTACGCCCACAGCTTTAACTTGGTTGGTGACTCTCAACCCTGTTGGCGTCCCCGGTCCAGACCACTCTTCTGAGCTCAGATCTGTATATCCAGCTCTCTACCGGTATCCTTCGGATGTTTCACAAGTCCCCGAAGCTCAACGTATTTCAATTGAACTCATCCTTTCCCCACCCCTCAACAACAGCAAAAACAAATGCTGTGCTAGATTCTCTCCTGCTGAATTCCTTATCTTGTTGAATGGACCAACTCTTTTCCTCCTGGTCATCAAATGAGACAGACGGGAGACATCATGAATTCCTCCCCTCTTTCTCATTCCTGACTCCCAATTTATCACCAAGTCTTGTTGATTCTACCAAAAGTCTCCCAAATCTATCTCCTTTTCATCCCAGCGCAGGCTCTCGTCACTTTTTTACAAACTTGAAATACTAGCAAGTCTCCTGACTGGTACTCCAGTCTTATCTCTCTCCAATCTTCAGTCTTCTGCCAGACTGACCTTCTGAAAGGCAAAACTTTATCATGTTACTTCACTAAAATCTACCAATGGCTTTCCGCTGCTGTCAGGATACAGTTAGAAACCCTTGGCCTCCTACACAAGGCCTTGGACTCTTTGGTTCCTTTCTACCACCAGTACGGAAGCCAAGCACTTGTAGTTCTAGAAAAATGCCATGAATCTTTGCCATGCTTTCTCCACCCTTCCTTCCAAGCCCTTCAAACGTAACACAGACACGACCTACTCCAGGAAGTTCTCCGTGATGCCCACTGCCCCCGCGAGTTAAATGCCCCTCTTCTGTGCTCCCATATTGCCTCTGTAATAGTTCTTGCCATGATGTTCTGTAATTTTTGGGTTAGATGTCTAGCCCCTCTAGATGGTGACGTTCTAACAGGCAGCTGCAGTGTCTAATTCGACTGCTTTTCCAGCTACGTGGTCCTGTACCTGGCACAGAATAGGCGCTCACAATACACTTGATGACTGAACGACCAGATAAATGAAGTATTACTATACTGTCGTAGCCTTTAGAAAAAGGACATCCAGGCATGAGACGACAACAAAGGCACCCCGCGGCCGAAGAACCTAGTACCGTGTCCTCCAGCGCACCACCAGTCAGGGTCTCGGCCGTCATGTTCCCCGCCGGCCTCTGGGGGCGCTAGGCGGACGGCGCCCGCTCGCTGCCGCAGGAATTCGTCTTGCCGGGGGAGGGGGGCGTGGCGGGGCGGAGCCCGGTCGACCCGGAAGAACGGAGTCGGGTGGCTGTGCAGCCCCTCCCCTGGTCCCCGTGCGCCTTGGGGTCCCGTCCCGGGTGCTGCCAGGGCCCTGGGAGGTACGGAACTGGAAGGCCTGGATCGGCCACCGCGTAGGGGCCGCTTTACGTGGCAGAGCCAAAGCTCCGCTGACTGTCTGTCTTGGGGTATCTATTAATCGTGGGACTCCCTATGCGGGGCCCTTTGGCCAGGGGTAGGAGGGTCGGTAATGAGTTTTATTTCCAGAGGTTTCGGTTCGGAACCTTTGTGGGAAGTGACCTCTGTGTCTGCTCTCGGGAGGAGTCTGTCTGGGCTGCTTCTGGGAAGTCGGCGTTTTGGGCTGCCTTCGGGATTTCTGGGACGCCTTGTGGGAAGAGCTTTCTGTGTCTCAGCCTTCTCATCTGGGTCTGTGAACCCAAGGGCGGCAGAAGTTGTCTCCTTTCCGGAGCCCTACCCCCCCCCCCCTTAGATTCCTTCACTCCTTTCTTTCTAGTCCATGGCTGAGATGGTCTTCATTTTAGCCATGGACTTGACTAGGAATCAGAGGGCATTAATTGTGAAGATAAGTCATACGGGAAAGCAAAATACAGTCTTCTCGTTATTTGTTCACCAGGAAGAATAGCTTAAGACGTATCCACGGAAAATAGTAGTTCTGCTTATTTCCCCATGGGGTCCTGCTTAAACAGAGGAAGCTGCGCACAGCCTCCCCTCAGGAGCTGGTCCTGAGTCCTGTGCAGGGAGAGGAACCTTCCCAGCATTTCACTTAAACCAGCATCTTTATTTCTTCCCGCTTCTGTGACATCGTGTGCTGTGCACCAGCAGTTACTGGCCAGGCCTGGGGGATAGTAAAAATGAGTAAAACACAGCTCCCTGGGCAGTAGTGGACGTAGACACATAACCTGTGACGTGCACCCTGACTAGTGTAGGGGACAGTGCCGAGCCGCTGAGACTGTACACGCAGCTCAGACCCTGGGCTCTCAGCTAGGGCAGGTCTGCCCTCCGGGTGGATGCCACCTCACCCAGTGTGCTTCTGTTCTTCAAGGCTGAAGGCTGAGCATGGGGAAGAGTTGCAAGGTGGTCGTGTGCGGCCAGGCATCCGTGGGCAAAACGTCCATCCTGGAGCAGCTTCTGTACGGGAACCATGTCGTGGGTGAGTGTTGGGCTGTATGTGGGTGGGGGCGTGGGAGAATGGTGGAAGAAGTTAAGGAATAAGGAGTAGGATTTGACCACACAGAGAAGCTCAAAGTCTGCTCCTGGAGTCAAGTGTAATACCAAGGTCTGGAGGAAGGAAGCCCACTCTCCCAGATGAGGAGGAAAAGCTCCAAAGTTTCACATTTGCCCAGCACGGTGTAAGCGTGAGACTCATGTTCGTCCCCCCGAGTCGTTCCAGGCCTGCCAGACTCCGTCGGGCCCCCTCTCCTCAGCCCCCACATTTCTTTCCCTCCCTGCCTGGGCAGCCTGTCAGCGTACACTCAGTCGCTCATGCTTCCCACCTGCTTCCTCCCTACACACATGCTCTCACTTTATCCCAGGTTCTGAGATGATCGAGACGCAGGAGGACATCTACGTGGGCTCCATCGAGACCGACCGGGGCGTGCGGGAGCAGGTGCGCTTCTACGACACCCGGGGGCTCCGAGACGGGGCGGAGCTGCCCCGCCACTGCTTCTCCTGCACCGACGGCTACGTCCTGGTCTACAGCACGGACAGCCGGGAGTCCTTCCAGCGCGTGGAGCTGCTCAAGAAGGAGATCGACAAATCCAAGGACAAGAAGGAGGTGTGCATGGGAGGGAGTCCCAGTGGAGGGAGCCCTGGGGCTGGCTTTGGGAGGCTTGGCGTGGCCCTGTTTTTCATTCGCGTTCCAGGAGTTGGGTGAGGAGCTGGAGGAGGGATGGAGGCCACTAGAGGGCTCCCTTTAGCCATGGAAACGGCCCCCTGCTGAGACGGCTCACCGGGAGAAGCTTCTCTTTAGTTTAAGAGGTTCCTGACCTACCACAGGAAGCCCCCACTAGTCTGTGTTTATAATGGTTCCATACTCTCGGTTGTGAGAGCCCTTCTTCTGGCAAGTCCCTCTTCAAGCCGCAGGCACCGTGGGAGTGCTCCCTCACCAGAAATTTAGCCAAAAGTGAACTGACAGCTGGTTCTGAGCAGGTATAGGCGACTTGGGGCTTGTAGTGGATGGAACTCCTGGAGACAGGGCCAGGAGGAGGCCAGGATCTGAACAGAGGAAGGAGCGGGAAAAGCAACAATTCCCCGCAAAACACACACATCCTGGTTTCTAATAGAGGAAGAGATGAGACACCAGCCAGTAAGCCTTTCCTTCTCTTGGGACTCCTAAGTGGTGGCCAGCCCTCACACCCATTCCTAAGGTCCATGGCACGTCCACCAGCCTCTCCTCCGTCCCTCTTCCCCAGGTCACCATCGTGGTCCTGGGCAACAAGTGTGACCTGCAGGAGCAGCGGCGCGTGGACCCAGACGTGGCTCAGCACTGGGCCAAGTCAGAGAAGGTGAAGCTGTGGGAGGTCTCCGTGGCCGACCGCCGCTCCCTGCTGGAGCCCTTCATCTACCTGGCCAGCAAGATGACCCAGCCGCAGAGCAAGTCCGCCTTCCCCCTCAGCCGCAAGAACAAGGGCAGCGGCTCCTTGGATGGCTGAAGAGCTGCCGTCCCTTCTTCACCGTCCCAGCCCCAGCCCAGCTCCTGGGGCTTTGGAAGAGGGGGTGGGGGGAAAGGGGACCGCCCCGTGCCGCCAGTGCAGGCAGCCGGGCCGTTCCAGGCCCTGGCCCCTTTGGCTCCCTCCCAGCTCCGGGAAATGCAGATCACCTAGGTTAGTGCCCCCCAACCTCCTCCTCCACCCCAGCTTTCATCACATCTGCCCCTCGCTGACCGAGGGCAGTTGTGGGTCAGTGCCCCTCCCACCTGTCCTGGTTGGGAAGCAGAGCTGCCATGCACAAGTGCCCACTCTGGGGGATTGTTCTGATCACGGGTCCCACACCTCTAGGCTTCTGCCACACACACACACACACACACACACACACACGGCACCAGCCTGGACTTCAGGGAGAGGGCTCCCAGGTATCGTGTGTGTGTGTGCATGCAGATGTTGGGGGTGCCTCTTCACCCAGCACCCTGGCCTTCCTCCTGTCTGTGTCTTGGCTGGAAGAAGCCAGCCTCCCGGGAAGTGTGATTTTTCTACTTGACCTCTTCCCGCCATCGTTTTGCTTCCTCTTCCGGCTTGCAGAGCAGATGGGCCTCGTGGGCTGGGTCACCAGCTGGCTTTGTGACCCAGCAAGGCTTTTCCCCTCTCTGGGCTTCTGTTTTCTCATCTGTACGGTGACAGGAGTTTCTTAGAGGTGACCTGGATCCACTCCAGCCCTGTGATTTTATAACGCCGGTGGCTTCGGGCTATCTGACCGTGTGTGTGTGTGTGTGTGTGTGTGTGTGTGTGTGTGTGTACCCCTTTGCTTCTCCCTCTTCAAGGTGCTATGCCCGCCCGCCCTGGAGGCTGGGACACTGCCCTCTGACAACCGCCAGGGGGCAGGAGCGCACTCTCCACTCTAGTTGCCAGAATGGCTGCTTAGTGCCCAATGGGGAACCTCACACCCATGGCCGCCGGTCTTCACCCCCCTCCTCTGGTTGTTTTCAGCCAATAGCTGGGCTTTATTTATAAATTTCCTGTTTTAAATGAATATGCTGCCACGGTGAAGGCTGGACAAGGTGCTCCTCTAGCCCTTCTTACCTCAGTCGCCTCAACAGAACAAGGCACACAGGTGTCAGCTTCTCGGGAGCTGACAGGTCTGTTGGGGCCCAGAAGGGTGGTCACTCTCTCCACACGCTACAAAGTGAGCTTATGACCCACAGCTTTCCTATGGCCACTTTTGTGCTTCTAATGGACACAGCCGGGCCACCTCCAATGCAGGCCCCTTCTCCCCGAAGCAGGAGGGGTGGGTGGGGGCAGGCGGCCCAGGGCTGGGCGAGTGAAGTTGGGGCATATACAGGCTCGGGCTTATTGTTCATTTATTAATGCATTGGACACAATAAAACCACAACTGTTATCAAAAAGTTTCCCTCCCACTCCCCCCCTTATCTCCAGTTGGAAATACCTTTTTAAAAAGATATATACAGTTGGATACTGGCAATGTCCCGTATTGTGGGGCGAGGTGAGCGGTGCTGGGGCAGAACAGGGGTTGTGACATTGGCTTTGATGGCGGGCTACTGGGTCCGTAGGGCCATCAGGCTGGATCCCAACACTCAGCTTCACAGTGAGGGAGGCTCGGGGTGCTGGCTGGGAGGAGGGGAGGCCAAATCTAGTGCTGGGGACCAGTTTGGGGTAAAGAGCTGGAGAGGAAAGCTCTTTGTCCAGGACGCCTGGGGGACTCGGTGTTCGCTGGGTCCATAGTCTGAGGAGGACCCAGTGCATCCGCCCCAGAGCTGGGGTTCAGGAGAAATCGGTAAAAGGCCAAGAGTGGGTCGATCACTTTCTCCATTAGAACTGGGCCCCCAGGCAGAGCATCATCCTCACCGCCCCTGGCCTGGCCCCTCCCTTTCAAGCGGATGAGGACCCCTGACAGCTTTCAGCACCACCCCTGCCAGGGCCGTACCCCACCTCAGCACTGCTCCCTTGCCCCTCCAGCCTTTGCCACGCCCCCAGGGTCATCGCATCCTGGGTGAACCAGCTCCAGCCCTCATCCCCAGCCCTCCTCTCCAGCCCTTCTCCAGAGCTTCCGGTGCGTGGGCAGGGCCTCCCCAGCGCCTAGGAGTGGGGGTCCGGCACACACTTGTCCCCAGGCCAGAAGCTGAGGTTTCCAGGGCCTTTGGCCGGGTGGGCATGGGTCTGGAGTGGGGGAATGAGAGCACCGCGGGGCTGGGGCTAGGATTTTGCATAGACCTTTGGGGTTTCTCTGTCTGCTCCCTGTAAGTCAAGTCAGTCTGGGAGATGCGTGGGAGCCCAGGACTAGCCGGAGAAGGCTAGAGAGATGAGAGTGGGGGTGGCCCTTGGGCCAGGGGTTATTAGTTGAATCCCTGGTCCAGATAGAATGAGGGGCAGCTGCCCTTGGAACTAGCCCAGCTCTACCTTGATTGGTCAGGAGCCCCTAGGCAGTAAAAAGTTCCCCGGAGGATGGAGGAACCGAGGCATCTTGGGGAGAGTGACCGCCGGGAAGCCGGCCCTGGCCTCCCTAGGAGGGCTAATAGGGGGCGAAGAGGATGGGTCCCGTGGCGGGGCGGACCGCCCCTGCTGGGGTGCGGAACAGAGCTGGGCCCAGGATGGGAGCCGGGAAGAGGGTGGCGGCCGCCGTGGGGGCAGGCCGGAGGGCCAGGGGGCCTGGCAGGGCACAGATGGCCGCGGCTGTGGCGGGGATCGGGCTGGGCAGGAAGCGGGCTGCCAGCGTCTTGGTGAGCTGCTTCTGCAAGGCCAGCTTCGACTGCGAAGGAGAGAGAGAGAGAACTAGGCACAGCCTGACCCTGGAAAATGCCACCCCTCCCCGCCCAGCCCTGAGCTCCGTCCTTGGGCCCTTTGAGGCAGGACAAACACGCCTGTTAGGGTTCCAAAACTAAACCCTCCTCCTCCCTTCCCACCCCCAAACATTCATTCCAAAGGGCTTTCTCCACCACCTGTCTTCCTGCCCAGAAGGAGGAGAATCATGATGGGCCACGGGAGGAGGCTGTGCTGGGTGCGGGCAGAGGTGGTTTCTAGGAGATGGCACGCCCACCCCTTGCTCTTGCCCCTGAGATTCCCACCCAGGCCCACCTCCCCGGAAATTCCTCCGGGCAGATCCCAACATAGCTAAGAACCCAACCCCAGCTCTTGCTCTGCCCAGGCAGCCTCGGAAGGGGTGGTGGGGGGTGACTTTATTCCTGCCTTAGCTCCCTGGCTGGCCCCCACTTCCTGCTCCCGGCCTCCCCGCCCCCACTTGACTGGGTTCCCAGCCCTGTTGCCTGGAGACAGATACCTTGAGGATACCCACAGCCAGCGCTGCGTGCTTCTGCAGCTTGCTGTGCTGGCTGGAGGGCTTGGGGGGCTTCCCGGCCAGGCGGTCTTTGTGCCTCCTGCTGCTCAGGTGCTAATGGACAGACAGACAGACTGGGAACAAGATGAGGAAGCCCAAGGACCCCCAATGACCCCACCATCTGTGACTAGCTCATCCTTCTCTACCCACGACTCACACAACAAGCCTACATTTACGGGGCATCCGCTGGAGTGGCCCTGGGAAAAGGAGATGAGAATTGGCCTTCGCCCTCCAGCCGCCCACTGTGCTGCTGGCCTGGCTCCTCTTCTTCCACCTGGCCTTGCCCGGCCCAGCACCTTCGCTCCCCAGCCCGCCTCCTTCCCCTCCCCCGGTGCCGGTCGCACTCCCTCATGCCAACCCTAGTCCCGGCCTCCCTTCTCCCACCTGCTTGAGCTGCGTCTCTGAATTGACCTGGAGCTGGCAGACGGCGCAGTGAAACGGGGGGCTGGGCCCCTGCCTGGCCCCGCGGGCCCCCGTCACCCTCTTGGCCTTGTGTCCAGCTCCTCCCCGGGGCACTGGGCGGCCCCGGCCCCTTCGGGGCGCCCCTCGCTGACCTTCCACCATCCACCGGTGCTTGGCTCCTGGGCGGAGGGAAGAGGACAGCCCATCAGCACGGGAGAGAGGCTGCGACGAGGCGGAGACCCCTCCACCCTGGATCAGCGTGGTTGCCCCTTCAGCTGCGAGGCTGCTCAGCACACACCCCCCCTGCCACCGCGTGGGGTTTCTCTCTCCCGTCCCCACCGGGTCCTCCCAGGTTCTCTCGTGTCAAGCCAACCCGCCCCAAGGAAGGCCCTGGAGTGTAACTGGTCGGCTCGCCTTCTCTCGTCTCAGCCCCTCCCTCCGGGTCTGGGCTGAAGAGACATGGACGAGGTGTCTCCCGGCGTCCGGAGTGACCCTCCAGTTCTTGCTTCTCCTCCCAACTGCCCCTCCTCAGGCATCAGTGGGATGACCCGAGATGCCCTGCCCAGTAACAACTCAGCTCAAGGCCCCTGTTACTAATACTAAGCCCTGTGGCAAAGTGCCCCAGAAGCCCCAGCTTGCCCACCCCTGGTAGGGGGCAGCCTTTCCGCCCCGCCCCTTCCCGCACCTGCAGGCGGCGGGGCTCGCTGACCTGTGTTGTGAGCCTGAAGCTGAGAGGCGGAGTTCACGGTCACCTTGCACGTGGGGCAGTAGAGGCGCCCCTTCTCGCTCCCGCTTTCCCCACTCACACCACTCCCCACAGCGGCTGCCACCGGTTCCGGCCCCGGGGCCTCTCTCCCAGGCTCTGGGGAGCAGGGTGGACAGGAGGAAGGAGAGGAAGAGGAGGCAGCATCCGAGAGTTCTGAGTGGGCTGGCTCCCGGGGCATCGGGTCCGGGGTCCGTGGTGGCTGGAGTGGGGGGCCTGGTGGGGTGTCTTCGGGACCTGCTGGGGACATGGAAGGCACCGGGTACGAGGGTGAGGCCTGAGCTGGTTCTGGAGACCATGGTTTTAAACACCGATATATCAGGGGCGGCACGGCAGAGCGCACGGGTCACTAGTGCGGGCACGACCAGCACTGAACTCCAGACCCCGCTCTACCATCCAACTCACTGGGCAGACTCGGGCCTCTTTGGGCCTCAGTGTCCCCATCTGAAATTATAAAGTCGGACGGAGTAATCTCAGCCCTCACTGTCCTGATAGTCTCGTTATTGGCAGTTCGTTAGAAGGAAATCAAAAAGTGTAGCAGAATGTTCATCGAGCAGTATTCACAATAGCAGCAACTGGACACTTTACATGTTCATCAATAGGAGAAAAGGATTTAAAAAACACACTGTGTGGCCCTGGCTGGTGAAGCTCAGTGGACTGAGCACGGGCTGCGAACCAAAGCATCGCAGGTTCGATTCCCAGTCAGGGCACATGCCTGGGTTGCAGGCCACGGCCCCCAGCAACCGCACATTGATGTTTCTCTCTCTTTTTCTTTCTCCCTCCCTTCCCTCTCTAAAAATAAATAAGTAAATAAAATCTTAAAAAAAAACCCACTGTGTGGTCATGCATTGGAATACTACACGGCAACGGAAAAGGACAAACTAGAGCCGCCACCACAACCGCACAGGAGACTCGTACGATGTGTGTCATGGACACTCAGGGAAGGTGAATGAGGCCCAGATGCAGAAGCCTACATCCTGCACGCTTTACCGAAACCAAGCGAAACTGGTGTACGCTGAGAAAAGCCAGGATCGTAGTAGGTACCCTGGGCGTAAGGGTGTATTGTGGGTGGTTGCAGAGTATCACCCCACCACTCATGTCTGTCTGGAACCTCAGAATGCGACCTTATTTTGGGAAACGCGTCTTTGCAGAGTAAAATTAGTTAAGATGAAGCCACACTGGATGAGGGTGGGCCCTGACCCAGTGACAGGGGTCCTTCCAGGAACACCCTGTGAGGAGACAGACGCACAGGAGAAGGAGACGTGAGGATGGAGGCAGAGATCGGGGCCAGGGGCAGATGTGGCCACACGCCACGGCGTGCCGAGAACCGCCGGCAGCCCCCGGAAGCCAGAAGAGGGGTGTGAAACAGATCCTGCCTCTCGGTTCCCAGGAAGGAACCAACCCCGTTGACACATGGCTTTCCAATGTCTGACCTCCAGGACTGGGAGGAAATCAACTGTGATGATTTTCAGCCACTCAGGGAGTGGTCTTTCATTACAGCCCCCCAAGAAAACGGGGTGACTGGAAGGGGGCCGAGGGAGGTTTCCGGGTGCTGGAGAGATGTTTCTGGATCTTCATACATTCAGACAGGGGAATTCATTGGGTCCCACTTGTGATGTGTGCCCTTTTTCTCTATGTAGGAATACACTAATATAAGCAACAATAAGAACTATCTCACCCTGGCTGGTGTGGCTCAATGGATCGAGTGCCAGCCTATAAACCAAAGGGTTGCCGGTTCGATTCCCCGTCAGGGCACATGCCTGGGTTGCAGGTCAGGTCCCCATTTGGGGGTGTGAGAGAGATGGCTGACCATGTTTCTCTCCCTCTCTTTCTCCCTCCCTTCCCCTCTCTCTGAAAATAAATAAATACAATTTTTAAAAAATCTCTCAACTCCTCATCAGAAACTAGACCTAGAGTGGGGAGCTGGGAGAAGAATTCAGGACTGACCTTTGCTCTGTGGCTCTCTGGGGGCTCCGCTGGCTACAGATAAGGTTGGGGACACCTGTGTCCCATCCTGGGCCAGGGACTGGGGCCTCTGCTTGCTCTTGGCGGCTTCAATGGCCTTGAGTTTTCTGGCGTGTTTGTGGCCTTTATAATGTGCTTCGGCCTGGTTCTGGGGTGGGGAGGGCATAGGGTCACCATTCATTTCTCTGAGTCTACGTGTCCCATCCGCGAGCTGGCCCTGGGCAGGGGGCAGGTCACACAGGGGTGAATCCTCGTCATTGCCATCGTCATCACAGTATGCGCATGGCCCTGATGTTTACAGAGCACACCCTCATCCCTGAGCTCCCAGGCAGACAGCCTCTGGCTTTAAGCTCTGGCGCGACCATTCAGCAGCTGTGCCTCTTTAGGGCAAGTCGCTTCACCTGGGTGAGCCTCCGTGTCCTCGCTCACAGCCTCTGTGCTCGCACTGACCTCACGGGACTCTGAGAATCACATGAGCACCTGCACAAGGGCCTAGTTCACACCGTAGACACTCCATGAATGTTCGTTACTAAGACAACAAATGCACAAATGGAGAAAACAGAGTTCCTCCCCCTTTGGGGGGGGGGTGTGCACCCCAGAGCATTCATCCCTTTGTTCAGTTTTTTCAACAGTTACTGAGCACTGGCCGTTCGCCTGCCCCTGTGAAGGGGCGAGCGTGAAGACACAGCCCCTCTCTGGGAGGGAAGTCTCTCTCTCCAGCTCGTTTACACCTTGCAACCTGAACGCCTGGGGGGAACCCCCATATCTGGCCTGGCCGTGGGTGTCCTCCCTCCTTCAGCCAGGGGTCCTTGCTTGTTGCTCCCAAATGCAGTAAAGACAGGCCCCTCCCTGGACACTTCCACCAGAACGGGCCAGCTGAAAGCATCTCCCCGAGGCCCCCGAGTGGCCCGGACAGAAGGCAAGCCTTCCCCGAGTGGCCCGGTCAGAAGGCAAGCCTTCCCCGGTAGGCCAGGATGAGGCTCCTTCACTATCCAGGCGCAGGCTACGGTAGAAAAGATGCAGGGCCCTGGGGTCAGCCAGGCCTGGGTCCAGACCCCAGTGTTGCTACTCACCAGCGGTACCAGGCTACTTAACCTCTCTGAGGCTCGGTTTCCCCCTCTGAAAAGTGGGGATGACCACTGCGCCTCTACTCACCTCACAGATGTAGCGTGAGAGCTAACTAAGATGATAGGCATGAACATATTCTACAAACTCTCAGGTGCTTGAAGAGCTCAGCTCCAAGCTGGAAGCGGACGGGGCGGCCCCTGCGGCCCAGAGAGGGGAGGGCAGTCTCTTCTCGTGCAGGAGGACCCAGAACACGGGAGGGAAGTACAGGGAAGGGAAACGGAGTCCCAGGGGCACTCGGGAAGGAAGGGGCAGGGCACTCCGGGCAGAGCAGAGGGTGGATGAACAAAGGGCTGTGAGCGCCTCTTCTGCAGCCGGGGATGGAAAACAGAGCCCTCAGCCCCTGTGCTACCCCGTTCCCCACAGGGAAGGCCCCGGAAGCCCAGTCTCCAGCCCCCGCCCCCGCCCCCCGCCCAGCAGCCTCCTCGGCTTGTTCCCACTGCCCCCTCTCACCGCGGAGTTGAACCTCAGGTGACAGATGTTACAGGAAATGAAGAGCTTCTTCTTCAGGGGGGTGGGAACCCCAAAGGTGTGGCTGATGACAGCTTTCTGGACCGGGTCCATCTGCAAAGCGGGTGGGAGGGCACAATAACTCTGGGGCCAGCCTCAGAATTGGGGGGGTGGAGACAGTACAAAATGCAAAAAAATGAAAGACTTTCAAGGAGCACAGTGGCCAGCCCCCAGGAAGAACTTGTCCCATCCTTGTGACGATAGACACACAGAAAGAAACAGCTTTTTCCCTGGCGGACTTTCTCTGTCAGCGTGGACTTCCGCTTGGGGGCAGGGGGATGGGTAGGGTGACCTCCAGGATCTATCTATCTGTTTATTTATTTAGCCTCGCCTGAGGACATGCTTTTAGCGAGAGCAAGGGAGAGAGAGAGAGACATCCATGAGAGAGAGAAGCACTGATTGGTTGCCTCCCATACATGCCTGGGCTGGGTATCTTCCGTGCCTGGACTGGGGATCAAACCTACTACTTAGGTATGTGCCCTGACCGGGAGTTGAACCTGCAACCTTTTGGTTACTGGACGATGCTCCAGTCAACTGAGCCATCCTGGCCAGGGCATGACCTTGAGTTACAGAAGCACGTCCTAGTGATCACCTTGGTGTCTCTTGCTGCCCCTCTAGTCTCTGTTTGTTTGTGTTTTTTTTCTCATTCACAAGAATCACAACCATGAGAACAGAGTGCCAGGGGCAGGGAGAGGTGGGGGCGGGAACGACAGAGTCCCTCTGTTGGAATTTCCTCTCCCATAGCCCAGCCTTGTGCTGGACCTGTGGGCGGGGGAGATCAGGCTCATTTTGTGAGCTCTGCCACAGTCACGGGGCCTGAGGGAGAAGGAGCCACGGCCAGGGGAGGTGGGGGACAGGATGGGGCAGGTGGCAGCAAGTAGAAGCTAGAGGGTTTCCTGAGTAGCAGAATCATTCCTTTGGAATATGAACCTGTGTGTCTTTGTCTTATTTTAAATACTTTTTTCTTCTCTCAAACCAAGCCTTGATGTTCCCTTTTCTCAGGGCCCAGACTGCCAGGCCAAAAGCAGAAGCTATCTGGGTCCCCTCGTCAAGAAGAACTCGCCAAGCCTTCCTGAGAGGAGAGAACGGGGCCTCAGAGAATGACCCCCGACCCGCAGGGCCCCCGGCAATCAGGACCACAGAGGCGTTACCTGCTCCCGAGGGACTGTGCACTTGAACAGTGAGCACGTCGCTGGCAAGTGACCTAGGACCAGAGGCCCTCCCCCCATGGCTCAGGCTCCTGGGGACCTCTGTGCAACCCTGGAGGCTGGGATTCCTCGGGGTGACTGAGGCGAGGGGAGGGGCTTGTTGATGATGACATTTGATTTTTCAAAATTAAAAAACGGGGCATGCCTGACAGCTCCTATACTGAAGTCTCATTCATGCTCACTACACTTGTTTTTCACCCATATACACACGTGGAAATACACAGACCCGTATACACACAGAGGGCACCTGAGCCCTGGCTGGTGTGGCTCAGTGGACTGAGTGCCAGCCTGTGAAGCCAAAGGTCCCCAGTAGGGGGCGTGTGTGAGAGCCAACCGATCAATGTATCTCTAGCACATTGATGTTTCTCTTTCTCCCTCCCTTCCCCTCGCTCTAAAAATAGGTAATAAAATCCTTAGAAAGCAGAGACTACAGAGCTTACAGACAGTTACAGGTGACAGAGACATGCAGAGTAATACAGTCTCGCACACACAAACGGCACACAGCCACAGGCAAAGGCTCACTCCCTCCAACCCACGCAGAACACACTCAGAGGGTCAGATACACCAAACACACGCACAGTCCGCATGAAGACACAAAACACCTGTCCCAGGCACACATATCACATACCGAGAAACCAAGAGTTGTTTACAAACACACACACAGAGGACACCAACACTCACACCCACAAATAACAAAGACCCGTGGAAACACAGACTAAACTCAACTGCACACAGGCATACACAGGTCATTCACAGACGTCCCTAAACCAAAACTCCAGTGAGATCTGCAGTGCAGTCCCTAATGTCCCAGCAACTGGGGGAGCTGAGGGCGCCTCCTACTTCCTTGGCCCAGAGAGCGGGGCCCAGGTGGTCTCTACTTTGGGAGCGCCTAGTCCCTTGGGGGTGTTGGAGGAGAATGAGCTTCCGGTTAGACCCAGCTTCCCTGCCAAGCCCACCTTCCCGGCCCACCCCCCGGCCTAGCTGCATGCGCCCGCCCACCGGCCCCCGCCCCTACCGGGCCCCGCCCCTACCGTGCTGAAGTTGGGGAAGAGGCTGAGCGGGGCAGCACCATTGAAGTGGAAGGCCAGCAAGTGCTTGAAGTCCAGCGGGGGCTGCAGAGGCCTGGCGGGCAGGGGCAGGGAGGCCAGCAGAGGGCTGGGGGTGCTGGATGCCGGGCCTGCTGCAGGAGGGAGAAGGGCAGGGTCTGAAACGGGAGCCGCAGGGCCAGCACACCTGCGCAGTCGGAAGGGCAGAGCCCCCGTCTCCCTCTCCACCAAGGAGCACTGGCCCAGCCCAGGGTGGTTATTACAGCCCACCTCTGTGCCTCTCCCCTCCACTACCGGGGAAGCAGAAGCAGGGAATCCACAGCATAAGGCTCGCGGCCCAGGAGGATGACCCTCCCACCCCTACAGGGGCCCAGTTGAACCCCCCAAGGGGAGTCAAGCCAAGGGAAGGGACAGAGGTGTCAGGTTGGGCTTCCGACACACACGCACCACCATGGAGACGGCACGTGAGCTGAGTTTCCTCTTTATTGCAAATTAAACCCAAACCCTGGAGGCCTGGGGAAACGTCAGACCCCCTCCCCTCTTCTAACTCCCCCACTCCAGACCCCCACATCATTCTCAGCAAGGGCTGCCGCAGGGGGGGGGTGGGAACCCTTGGAAGCTGAATGAATGTGTCCCCCAGCTCTGGTGAGGCCCCAGCTGCTTCCACAGGAGGCAAAAAGCCCTCCAATAGCATGCATCCCTGGGTCTGGCCTGGATAGGAGTGGGGGGAGGGCTCAGTGTTGGGGGGAGGGGGATGGCACCATGGTTTCACAGTCTTTGGTCTTACAGCTCTGAGGCAAGGAACTTGGGAGAACCACCAGGCTTCAAGAAGTAAAAAAAAAAAAGAAAGAAAGAAAAAAGAAACAAATCCAGTTCATTTGGGACTTTTTTGGACCCTGTCAAAATGAAAAGAAGTCCTTTCAGATGTATATGTGACCACTATGAAAGATAGGTTTATTTCACGTTTATAGACCGGTGTGTCTCTATACGCTATGGTCACACACAGAAAAGCCTCAGGTGGCCTAGGGGTGAGAAGGGGAGCGAGGGTGCCACGGCCACCCCCCACCCCCCCAGCCGAGAGCCTGCGCACAGAGCGGTGCTGTGCTGTGCGGCGGGTCGGAAACAAGGCCAGCCATCTGCTCCTGCCCAGTCACATCAGAAGAGGTGCTGCCAGCGGGGAGCTGAGAAGCAGTCAAGGACCCATCGACTCTTCTTTCCCTCGATCCCTTCATTCTGGAGACGCCGTCTTCCTCCCCCGCACCAAGAACCCCCACCCCCAACGTTTTAGGGCCGAAACTTGAGATGAGTCCAGGGGGAAAGGGGTGAGCTACTCCTCACCGAATTCTAGAATGGTCGGGAAAAATATTTAGGGTACCCCAGAGCCTAGCATACTCTGCCCACTTGCCAGATCCCCCTTGAACCACCCCTCCTCCACAGCCCACGGGGCTGGGGTAGTACTCAGCGTGGAGCAGAGGAAGCATGGGGAAGGTGGGTGGAAGGTCACAGTTAGTGAGTCAGCTCGGATGCAGCATGGTCAAGTCCAGCTTGGCCCTTGAGTGCCCAGGGACCCAGGCTGGCTGGTTAGAAAGAAGGAGGCCACCCTCCCGTGAGCTTCGATCCCAGCAGCCCCTCCTCCCACCCACTTTCTAAGAACTTCATGGCCATCGCAAAGTCAAACTCGTGCAGTGGGGGACCATCCACAGCGATCTTGACCACAGGGTCGCCTCAGCCTTCCCCTGCCCCGCCCTGCCCCCACCACCGCAGCTCCCGGCTGCGGCCGACCTTGTCCAGGAGACCAGCGCCCGCGGGCAATGCCAAGGCCAGGGTGGCGAGGGCTGCGAAGTTGGGGAAGAGCTCGTGTAGCTCGGAGTGTGCGCATGCCAGCTTGGAGCACAGAGCCCGTGGGCTCAGCTGCCCCAGGCTGCAGACCACGCGCTTGAAGAGCGTAAAGTCGCACCACAGCCCGGGCGTAGACACGCAGCAGGAGCCGCAGCGCCCCTTCGCGGTACGTGCCCAACTCCTCAGGTGCCTGTGGGTAACGGTGGGGACCGAAGATCAGCGCAAACGTAGCTGCAGCGTCCAGCGAGGGTGCAGGGTAGGAGTCCCGCAGCCCGCTCCACATGGAGTCCAAGAAGGCCCCCTGCAGCTGCTCCAAGCCCCGGACTGCAGCCTTGGAGTAGCCAACCAGCTCCAGGCCACGGTAGGTACAGTGCCCACCGCCCAAGTCCGGGCTGGAGGATGCCAGTTCCTGCAGGAAGCCCTAGAGGTGTGTGCGACCGGAGCTTTGCAGAGCTTGGAGTGAGGCGGCAGCTGCCATCACCAGGGGCTGCAGCAAGGCCAAGTCCAAGTCTTCTGGCTGCAGGACAAAGGTGAGCTTCTGCATGCAGGGCAGAGTGTCCAGGAGCAGGTGGGTGAAGGCCACAAAGGTGAACTGGCGCAGGGCGAGGGCCAGGGCCCTAGCTGCTGGTGAGGCAGGGGCAGAGGCCTCCAGCGTGGGCACCAGGCAGGGCCAAGCCTCAGCTACTGCTCCCACGACAGGCAGCAAGGAGGCCCAGGGCACTGGCCGGGGTCCTGCCAGGTCGACGGCCACAAGGTCCAGTGCCGTCTGGAGTGCAGGGACCATGTGGTGACTGGGGCGGCCGTGGAGGCAGAACAGGGCATCCAGGACATTTTCATATTCACCTAGGTAGGCCAGGGGCTTGGGGGCCAGCCGGCCGGGGAGACCGTGGACCTCCAGAGGCAGTGGGCAGGTGGCCCAGAGCTGCAGGCCCACACCCCCCAGGCGGTCCCTGGGGAGGCTCAAGCTGAACCAGGCCAGCTTGGGTGCAGACATGCCGAAGGCCTGCAGGACGTCCAGGAGTTGGCCAGCAGTGGCCTCGCCCTCCCGTAGCTGCACATTTCCTAGGAAGGTGGTGGCAGGCTGGCCGTCGCAGGGGGACGCCGAAGTGGCAAACAGGGCCAGACTGGGGGACTCAGGACAGTCCGTGGTCTTGTCTAACACCAGCCCCACGTAGGGGGCCGCCTGCAGGCACTGGCAGGCCTCTGCGTGCAAGACACCAGCGATGGCCACCTGGGACAGCCAGAGAGAGAAGCAGAGGAGGGCGGTTAGACTTGTCCTGAGAACAGGAGGCAGACAGTACAGGGTGGCAGAAAGAGCTCAGGCCTTAGCATCAGAATTAGGGGCTAATCCCAGCTTTGCCATGTACTGGCTGTGTGACCTTGGGCCAATCATTTCACCTCTCTGAGCTTCCGTTTCTTCAGTTCTAAAATCGGGCTAATAGGTGTCCCCAATCTCCTCCAAAGGTTGTTGTGAGTTATAAATGTAATTTTTTGTTGTTGTGCTTAGGAATGTAAAATGCGCCCTGGCTGGTGTGGCTCAATGGATTGAGGGCTGGCCTGTGAACCAAGGGGTTGCCAGTTCGATTCCTGGTCAGGGCACATGCCTGGGTTGTGGGCCAGGTCCCCAGTTGGGGGCGTGAGAGGCAACCACACACTGATGTTTCTCTGGCTTTCTCCATCCCTTCCCCTCTCTCTAAAAACAAATAAAATCTTTAAATAATAATAATAACAACAAGTGTCGCAGGTTCGATTCCCAGTCAGGGTACATGGCTGGGTTGCAGGCCATGACCCCCAGCAACCGCACATTGATGTTTCTCTCTCTCTCCCTCCCTTCCCTCTCTAAAAATAAATAAATAAAGTCTTTAAAAAAATAAAAAATAATAATAACAAAAAAGACATGTCGAATGCTTTATGAACCATAAAGGTTCTACAGAGTTCGGTTTGTGCGTGTTTCTACAGCATCACTCGTCTGCCTTGTCCCCGGGGATCTCCCTCCTCTCCGCTGCTCCGGGATTCGCTGGTGGACGTGTTCAGTCCCCACTCCCGGCCAGCAACACAGGACCCCAGCCATGCACTGCCTGTCTCTCATCTCTCTGCAAGATGAGATCACCTCCCCCACCTCCCAGCGCCCAGGACTCGCACAACCAGCGCCTAGGACAGAGCTGCACTTTGCATGCTGCGGGGGCCACAGGGGTGACCCTGAGCCTGACATGGGCCGAGGACAAAGCAAAGGGAATGCGGACGTGCATGCCTGCTCCAGCTCCACCATTTCAGGCCCCGAGAGCACCGGGACCCAGTTTTTCAGTACAAGTAACAAATCCAGATTTTCATATGTAATCTTTCATGTTGTTAGACTTGGAAGTGAATTTAAGTTTTTCAAAACACACTGGGAAAACCAACAAAACACTTCCGTGGGCCAGTCAAGCCCCCCGGGGCCACCAGCTGGCTCTCTCTGGTCTAGGTAGCGAGGGGAGCGCTGCTGTGCCCGCGAGGACAGGACCTGGTCTGGCCGCTTCAGCACCACGCTCCCCGCAGCTGGCCCAGGGGCCTGGCACGCAGAGCGCTCTCCGTGAAGGCTCTGACCAGTGAAGGTATGAATGAAGCGCTCTGGCCGCTGCCCAGGGGCCTGGCATGCTGGCACTGGACCAGAGGGCTCAATGTCCTCCCTCCCCAAGCCCTCCCCCCACCTCTGGCTGCCACCCACCTGCATGTCCCTCACCCTCCTGGGGCTGTAGTAATTGCCACGTTCTGTGCCCAGCAGTGTCTGGCACAGGTTGAACCTCTGTAGCTCCAGCAGGGCAGAGCAGCGGTCATCAGGCACGTCCTCCTTGGCCATGCAGTACACAGCAGTCAGCACAGCCACTTTGGCCAGGTCCACCTCCACCTTGACGCCCCTGGAGGGAGGGGTGCTTGCCAGGCCTGGGTAGGCCCCTCCTCCCCCGGCCTCCAAGGTGGGCTGGCCCCCGTTGACAGAGCCTGGCGGTGGGCCCCCGAGGTCACGTGGCGCAGCAGAGCGTGGCGCTGGAAGTTGTCGGTGCCCGCGGTGAAGGCGTTCTCGGCTTTGCCGTGCTTGTTCCTCACCAGAGCCTGGCGGGGCGGCACTCGAGGCAAAACATCAGTTCCCTCTGGGAGTCGAAGTCCAGCCAGGGAAACTCCTCTTTCCAGTGCTCGTTGAGGTAACGCTTGCACTTCTTGTTGGAGTTGGAGGCCTCTCCAGCTGGTTTCTTCCCCGGGGGCACCATTCCTGCTCCAGGGGCAGGGCGCCCCCAATTCCCTCCCAAATGCTCTGACCCCTCCCCAGCTCCACCCCCACCCCACCCCCACCCCACCCCCACCCCACCCCCACCCCTGCCACACACAGAGGCACCTCCCTTGACAAGGGGAGCTGGTGGGGAGGCAGGAGAGGGGCAGCTTGCCAGACTAACGTGGACCGTCCATCTAACTTAGCTGGGAAAGTCTATTCCCGCTCCGCCGGTGGGAGACTGGAGACGAAAGAGACAAGGGAGGCTGTTAGGGAGTCCGCCGTGGGTTCGTGCGCCCCAGAGCTCTCCCGGGCTGAGGGGTGGGCGGGGCCCAATGCGAAAGAGCTACTGGGAGTGGGTGGGGTTATGCAAAGAGCCACAGAGCAGTTATCCAAAGTGGGGAGGGATGGGTGCCTGAGTCCCCCACCTGAGGCTCTCCCTCCACCCAGGACGAGGCATTGACCGGTGCTGACAGCTGAAGCAGCCACAACTCAGAGCTGGAAAGACTGGCACCATCTATGCAGCCACATTTTGTAGGTGGGTGGGGGCGCTGAGTCCCAGAGACAGAGTGGTTCTCAGGACCCAGGAGTCATTTCTGAGCCAGAGCAACAATTTAGACCTCCTGAGTCGTCGCCCAGAGGATGACGGATCCCTCCAGGCCACAGTCAGTCATTTCAACAGAAGGAAGCGAGCACAGAGCTGAGCTTCCGGAGCCACAGGACCGAGGAACTGGATTTGCTTTTCTCTGGTGCTCTCTTCCTCGCGCACATGGGCGCACGCACACGGGGGATGAGGTTTTGGGGAGGGGACCCCAGAAGTGGGGGCTGAGCCCCAGATTGAAGAGACCGGGCTGGTTGCCTGTATGTCCCTCACTCTACCCCCCCACCCTACCCAGGGCGCAAGGCCAGAAGGAGCAGTTCAGGACCAGAAGGCCATTATCCAGCTGATGGCTGAAACCTGCCTGTCCCCTCCTCTCTGTGCCTACGGATAATGCCAGTAACTACCATGTACGGAGCGTGAACAAGCTCAGACCCTGTGCTGTGCGCTCTGCAGTGACTCCAAGAGGAGACCAGGATTCCTCTTGCAGAGACTCGGAGGGTGGCATTGTCCTCATGTTGAACAGGAAGAGACTGAGGCTCAGAGACTTTGTGTGACTCGCCCAAGGCCCACAAGCAGTAAGTGCCCAAGGCAGGATTAGATCCCCAGTCCTCCGGACCCCACAGGCCACACTGGGACTCTGGCCTGCACCGTCTCGCTGGGTTACGCAGCTGCCTCCACCTCTGCAGCCGCTCCCCCAGGTTCGTCTGTCTTGCAGCAGCCAGAGAGCAAGGCCACCCACAAATCCGCCTGTCACTCCCTTGCTTCTGCCTCGTCAGTGGTGTCCTGTTGCCTGAGTGAGTCTACACACCTCACCATGGCCGTCCCCTCCCAAGCCTCTGCACACCTGCGGAGCCTCCTATCCATCAGTCACTCCTGTTTGCTCGGCCAACTCCAGATGCTTTCCATCCCCACACAGGACTGTTACTTTAGCTCCTGCCTTCATCTTCTGAGCCTGCAATTCCCCACCCCTCCTCTTTCCCTGGATCACTCCTATTTGTTCTCGGAGAATAGCTCGGACATCCCCTAGGCTGGTGTCTGCCCTCCTGTCTCCCATAATTCCCCGTGGGTAATTCTTCACAGTCCAGCATGGCAAGTGCCAGAGTTCTCCCTGCACCTCCGCACTTGGTTCCTGGAAGGCCGAAACCGCATTTGTTCATTTTCGGATCTCTAGGTCTCTGTACAGGGCTGGACACGCAGATGCCTCTCGGCACAAGACGGTCGTTGAAAAGAATGAAAGGATTTATTTTGGCTACGTGAAAGAGCCTCCTGTTTCTGAGGCCATTGGCTAGACGAGTTTCGCTCTGAGGAAGCAGCGACTGTCGTGTCCACCTGGTACTACCCCCAGCGCCCCGTGCGGCCCCTGGCACTTGGTGGGTGGGTGAAATAAGGGCAGATGAGTCGAATTCCGGGCACAGCTGTTCAGGGTAAGGGCAGGCACTCCAGGTTGCCACATGGGGGTGAACCTCGTTGGTCCTCTTCCCCTGGACCCTTAAGTGGCATTCGGCACTGCTCCCCACGCTGTCCTTGAAACACATTTTTTCCCCTTAGCTTCCAGGATTCTCTACATTCCTGATTTTCCTTCACATCAGCCACCCCTTGGCCTGTTCTATCATTTCCACCTCCTGTCCCCAACCTCAGCCTTTCCAGAGAGTTCGAGACCATCTCTACAGGACACTCTGAAATACACAGCCCCAGTCTGGGCCACCCCGCAGGGCAGCTCACCTCTCCACCCAACCACCTTCCTGGCTTGTCTAATGGAACTCTCCCTGTGTCCCCACAAAATATGCTCCTCTCCCTGGTGCCCCCAGTCCAGGAAACGGCCCGTCCTGCCACCCAGGCGTTCTGGGCAGAAGCATGCCCCTTTAAGCCGCACTCTCTCCACTTCCAACACCTGGTCTACCAGCAGGCCCTGGTGGACTCCACCTCCTCAGTCCACCTCTCACTCATCCCTTCTCTTGCCGCCGCTGCCGCCCTTCGCACCTGGGTTACCTGCCTCTCTTGCCTGGACTATGCCAGTTGCTTCCTGGTGGCTCTCTGGGTTTCCGCTCATACCCGTCTGTGCGCCATTCAAACCCTAGCAGCCAGAGGCGGCTTTTAAAACCCTGCTTGAAACCCTCCACTGCAGCCCGTGGCTCTGAGGCCAGGGCCAGAATCCTGCTCCACGACTGCCAAAGGCCCGGGCATTGCTGCTCTCGCTGGCAGCCACTTGTCCATCCGTCCCCTTCCAGCTATACCTGCCTTTTCTTGGTTGCTCCAGCGTGCCAGGTTCCCGTCCTCAGGGCCTGTGCACATGCTGTGCTTTCTTCCAGAATGTTCCCACGCTCCACTTCCCCTCTGGTCTTAGCTTAACTGGCCCCTCTTCAGAGGTTTCTCTAATTCTCCCTTCCTAGGAGGTCCCCTCCCTTCCTGTCACTAACCCATTTGTTCCCTCCATTGCACTCCCCACAGATTACAAATCTACTTATCTCTGTGCAGTTCTGTTGCTTGGTGTTTTGGTGTTCTCTCTCTCTCTCTCTCGCTCTCTCTCTCCCTCTCAACCCCAGAACCCAAGAGAAGGGGACCCAGCACATATACCACAAAATCTGGGGAGTGAGTGAATAAGGACGCCTGGGCTCTCAGGCAGGAGCAGTGGCATGGACCCTTGGGTGCCTGTTGGGTGGTTGAAACAGCTGCCTTTTGACATTGTTTCCTCCTAAAATCCTGCAGTTCAGTGACCTTGTCCAGCCCATCACCCAAAGCACCTTAGAAGGGGGAGGAGGTGCAAGGCCGAGTTTGTCAGATCCCTTCCCTGCCCCGAGAAACGGGTTCTCCTGCCCCGCTCTGCAGAGGGGACAAAACGACTGTCAGGCCTGGGGTGTTTCTGATAAAAGGTCAAAAGAGTAGGTAGGAAGGAGGCACGGAAAGATGGAGATTCTACAACTGCACTGTCCAATACGATACGGTAGCTGCTGGCCAAATGTGGCTGTTTAAAATTAATCAGAATCGCACCCTGGCTGGTGTGGCTCAGTGGATTGAACACCGGCGTGCGAACCAAAGGGTCGCCAGTTCAATTCCCAGTCAGGGCACATGCCAGGGCTGCAGGCCAGGTCCCTGCTGGAGGGTGCACGAGGGGCAACCACATACTGATGTTTCTCTCCCTTTCTTACCCCCTCCCTTCCTCTCTCTCTAAAAATAAACAAATAAATAAATCAGAATTAAATTACAACATTTAAAATTTAGCTTCTCAGTCGCACTAGCCACAGTTCAGATTCTCAATAGCAACCTGTGGGCCGTGACTAGTGGCTGTTGCATTACATAGCTCAGACCGAGAATGCTCACAACATCTCAGAAACTTCTATTGGACAGTGCCACTCAAAAAACAAAACAGGAAAGAAAAATAGACAAAGGTCTTGGATATTCCCCCACCCCGACCCGAGGGAAGCAGGCCGGGCAGAGTGTGGTCCAAGGAGACGCACGCCTCAGACCCAGGTCCCCTGCGCCTCTTCGCACCCTGGTCAGCGGGGTGGGAGCAGGCACGACTTGCCGGGCCCTGGGGCACAGTGCCTAGCTCTGCCACCCCCACTTCGCCCAGCATGTAAGCCTCAAATGTAGGGTTTATTTAGCCCCAGGATGGTAGTCCCCGGCCTCTTCCCCAACCTCCTTTGGGCGCCATCCTTTTGGGACCCCACTAAAAGAGTCTAAGCTCCTGGCAGAGAAGAGGTGGGCGACCCCTTCCCCGGCAGCCCGGGTGAGGCTGAGGCCCCCAGCATGCCTGGCCCCTCCTCCGGGGATGGAGACTCAGAGGGTTGGGGAACTTCTTCTGGGGGGCACGTGGGGGAGGATCCCTCAGATGGGTCTGTCGGAGGTACTGGTCCCAGACTGGCGATAGCCTACGCCCGCACGCAGGGCCCACAGCCCCTTTCATCCGCCCTCTGCCCGGCAGCTCTGGGAGGGGGCGCCCCGCCCAGCCCCGCCCAGCCCCAGTCCTGCCCACACAGACTCGCAGAGACACTGGAGCCACCATCTTGCACGGCGGACGCTCTGGCTGTGGTCTCCTTGGGCTTCACCGAGCGACAGCAGCCACTACTGGTAAACGCGGCGAAGAGGCGCCAGCAGCCAGCGCTTGCCGGGGTCACAGGCCGGGTGGTGGCGACCCCCACCCTGGGGTTCACCCAGTAGCACCCCTCTGCCGTCCCGCTGTGTCCCAGCCGCGGTGTGGCGTGCGCGCATAGCCCGAGGTCACCCGCATCCTTCCCCCGCCCCCCACCCCGCCGTGTGCACTGCAGCAGGAGCTACTGAGATTAGACGCAGGAAGGAGTCATTCATTCATCACAACTATCCGTGCACTCCCAGAGGAGCTCACAGGGGAGAGCTCCCAGGGGGAGTGCCAAACCAGGGAGAGCGTGTGGATGGAGGCTCCAGTCTAGCAAGTGTTCTGCGGGTTATGA